TCTACTTTAAAAAAAAAACTTGCCAACTATTTTCTCACTCTTGGATTACTACTTCTTAAGCAGTTCTTATTGACAAAATCAATGAACTACACACTATGAAAAAATAATTTAAATTAAGGTGCTCTGAGACTGACATATACGAGCGTCAATTTTGACATAAAATTAAGTGATAACAGACGCGAAATTCAGAGCACTAGGAGCACTTAATTTTACATGACATGTTTGTTTAAGTATCATCCTTTATGTCAAAGATGGATTCCGTCACGTGTAAGATTAGGTATTTCTAAGTGTGTTATTATTAAACATTAAATTTACATTGATTAATCTAATCTCTATTTCACACCTTTTTCATTATATGAGCAGTTTTTAACTGACATTGGACATTTTTCTTGAATCCATACAAATTCTCGTACTGCTCATGAGTAATAAAATATGAAAGCTATTTATGTTTTAATTTGTCATGCTACAAGTATTTGAATAAACCTAAAATCAATTTGTCACTTCACGAATCCTAATCCTTTTTTATTTTTAAGTAATATGAACTGAAGCCATCCTGAGCGGCCATTATGTTTAGCAATTTTCACAAGATATCAGAAGAAACTTGCTTTATACTTAAAGAATTTCGTCAACCATCTGTTGGATCACTCACAAGTAGATATAATAGATAAGACTAGTAGCTTGAAAAATAGCTTGATCAGTATAGTGTTTTGTCCCAAAAACCCGTAATGGTTATTTCGATTCTATTTTGAATCTATCTTTCGTTCAGTTTTGTCATGTTTTGTCCTTACAATTTTTTTTTTGTCTTGTATGTTCGACTTTGCAATGCTCCGAATTTTTAACATTTCGACCTATTGTCCCTTCGACCTTGCACCCTATGGACCATTTGTCCTTTCAACCTTTTGTCCTTCGAAGTTTTGTCCTTTTACATTTTGTCATTTCAACCTTTTGCCATGGATTCTTATTGAAGACATCGTGAAATCCCTTATTGATCCAGTAGCTCAAATAAACTGAACATCCAAGACAATTTGGGGAACCAAGACTATATTTAAATTAAGAAAACTTTTTCTGAATCATGAAATTGGTTTGCAAAATGCACCCCTGGAATAAAATGGCCCGCTTGTTTTCTCGTTGCGTTCCTATGACTAATTATGGAATTTTATGTGCCAGAAGGGTAGTTCAATAACTGAACTAGCAGTGTTGCTCGTTAAATTCACGAATTAACAATCGGAAAGTTATGAAAATCAGTGCAGGGAAATTTTACCCCAGGGGTATGGCTTAGACCATCCTACCCTGCACTGAAACCTCCGTTTACGAAGTCTTTTTTTTTTTGCGCAGTATTCAGTGCGTTGTGGTTTTTCATAGCTTTTGCGTTTTTAATTTATGAATTTGATAAGCAGTAAAGTTTCAGTCAATTAATAACTAGGTGCACTGTTTATTTTACTGCAGTACTCCTAGCAGAAGGATCTGGAATGTTTGACAGCAGTTTGTTTTCAAATGATTCCTCTTTCAGTGCTGAAAAGTTCGTCTCGATTCATTTTGTTTAAAATAAGTTATACTTGATGGAAGCCGCGAACCGAACATTAATTTTGGACACCCACTTGGAAAATCCGACGTGGCTAAATCGACCGTGTGCAGTGTTCTCAAACGTTTCCGTGAGCGGCATACTATCGATCGGAAGGATCATAGCAAGCGTCGTAGTAGAACTAAGCTCGAAAACATAGTAGAAGCTATTCCATGCGTTGGCAATAAGCAAAGTGCTTGCTTAAAAGCTCCCTCTATGAGCGTTCCATGGGAATCGCCCAAACCTATCATAGTGAAAGCGACGCGAAGAGGTGAGCAGCGTTCAGCAAAGCAACAGAACTGTTCGTATTTTAACGCCTGCGAACGCAAGCGTGTTTGGCACTAGATTCAAAATCAGATCGAATGTGTCCATATCCATTCTTGTGTAAGACTGAAACTTCTCTGGATATTACGAAGATCTTCGTACAATCTGAAGAACTCCTCATCTCGCCTCTATTTCGATTGATCGGATGAACTACAAACTCTCTTTTGTTGTTCATTATGAAATTAATCGTGCTTGACGAAGCGAAATATTCCTCATCGGATGAATCCATGCTTAATTGAAACAAATTTGAACAAATATTTAGCACTGCGCGCGCGACTGTAATGTTTTCAAAAAAGCTTTCACTATGTCATAGGTTGCTTTGCTTGCCGATTCATTTCGCTTTGCCAATTGCTATTGCATCGAATCGCTTTGAATCGCTTCTACTATGTTGTCGGGCTAAGGATCGAAAGCTGCAGGGCTGTTGGATTATGATATCGCCAAGAAATTCAATGCCCCCAAAGCACTGTCAGAAGGATTCGTAAGCGAGAAAGATTTCAATCTTTTAGAGCCAGAAAGCAACCAAACAGGACACTGAAGCACAATCTAGTGGCCAAAAGACGAGCCCGGTAATTGCACAATGAGGTTCTTACAAGACGACAAAACGTACGTGAAGATGGATTATGGGCAGCTTCCCGGGCAGAAGTTCTGTAACGCCACTGGTCGATAAATTTGCAAGAAAACTAATGATCTGGCAGCTGCGGACAAAAAACCCAGGCTTTCGTGACAAACAACACTATGGATTCCAAAATGTACAAGCAGGAGTGTCTGAAAAAACGTCTTTTAAGGCTCACAATGGACCTGTAGAGTTTTGGCCTGATTTGGCAAGCTGCCACTACAGCGGAGAAGTTCTACAGTGGTATCGAGACAACGGGGAACAATTCCACCCAATTGGCCAATTGTCAAATAGAAGTTGAAAAAGAGTGGAAAGGTGACAGGTTAGCAGTGATGGAAAAGTTCGCAAAAACTCACTATGACTCGCAAAATTTTCCTTTGGTGAACTTCATGAAGTATCGCGAACTTTTCCAACACTGCAGGTTAGCCAAAAGAGTGTCCAAAATATGATAAGCGGTATTCGAAGAAAAGTCCAAGATTTCATCAAAACCAAATAGAAATATTTTTTTCGCTATTTTTCCTTTAAAGTGCAAATCCTACATTTTGAGTACTTAACATGTTTATTTCATTAAGATGATTCCGAGATACATACGTCAATTTAATCAATTTAAACACTAGCATTTCTGTATGACAAATTCTTAGAATTCGTTTTGCCTCGGGGTGCATTTTGGCCTGTTCTAGCCTAAGTCTAGCGAAGATACATCGTAGTCACCCCTTGGTTTAAGCAGATCAAAGCAAATAAGTGCATGAGCTGTGCATGACTCTCTTGTAACGACAGTACCTTCTGGTTAGATAAAAACATTGAAATACCCCAAAATATGGATTTCAGACAATATGCATAAGACATGGATTTCCGATCCCTACACGTCGCCCCGATTCCAAAAATACTCATACTTAGGGGTAATTGACAGCTTTTCTCTAACCAGAAGCTGCCATCTTGGATTTGGCAACAGACATAAAATTATGGTTCCTTTAAATTACATTTCAATGTTTAAGACATTTTAAATTCGATTTTAATCAAAAATACTGCCAGTACCAAAAATACCGGCAGGCCATCGTATTAAAAAATTATGAACATATTCACGAACCTGAGGCTTGAATAAATATTAAGTTAAATATTGAAGACCTGAGTAAATCTTATAAAAAAATAAAATAAAAGCTCTCAAAATTTGGAAATTTTATCAGATACTTGATCTTCGGAAAATTCAACCATTTTGAATCTTGTAAAATGTTCTGAAAATTTTCTGAAATTTTTTGCACGGGAACCACATTTCTGATCGAAATGACGTCTGAGACAAAGTTTTAAAGAAAAAAAATGTGTTTCTGGGAAACATTTTTTTTTTTAATATGTTTTCACTATTTTTTTTCCAGCCAACGGTTGAAAGTCTCCTTAATAAAGATATAAAAAAAAAAAATTATTGTGAAAACCCAAATATCGTTATTATTTTTCTTTTTCTTCTTCTTTGCATTTCAAGCTAATTGCTTATTGCATATTAGCATAATGCGTGCTCTCAATTTAGAGTTCTAGATGCACTTCCACAGTTATTAATTGAGATCTTTCGATGCCTGTACCATTTTTGCCTTAGTATAATTGTGAGGCAAGTACAATCATACTCTTATGCCCAGGGAAGTCGAAAAATGTTCCAATCCTAAAAATTTCTACGCCGGACCGGGAATCGAACCTAGCCACCTCCGACATGGTCTTGCTTTGTAGCTAAGCCTGTGCCTACTGAGCTAGAGAGGCCCCTTAGCCTCAAACAAATGTCCCTTTAATTAGTATCTGAAATAATGGACTGGTGGAAACTGGAAAATTTTTAATCAACTGCACAGTCTACGCTACAATGTCTACCATACAATACTTTAATATATTCACAAAATTTAACTATCCCACCAGCTCCAAAACTTCTACGGCTTTTTGAAACCCAAACCCCATACCCGGATTCGGTAATATTTACCCCGAACTTGACTGTTTGTTTCCCTCTAATGCTGTTGACTGAAACACTTCCTCACTGCCACCGCTGCCTCCACCCCCACCACCACCACCACCTTGGTAACTGCTTATCACCTCCTTCGCCTCACGGGCTTCGTACATGTCTATCGCTCATGTGCATATCTGTGCCGCAACTCAGCAGTCCTACTCACACATTTGCAGCTAGGAAATCGGGACCAGCCCGTGCAGAGGCCAAAGAAAACAAAATTGTAGAGGCACCGTGCGCTCATAAGATACCATAAACCGTCAAACACCAAGAGGCAGTAATTCAATATTTACTCCACACATCACCGACCGGAGAGAAACATAAACACTGCGAAGAGAAAGAGAAACAACAATAAGCCAGTCGCAGCCTCGTGTTGGAAAATGGACCTATGCAAAAGAATTTTTGTTTTCTCTGTTGGCTGTAAATCATATATTCCATTGGGTTGATCCTCACGTATCCTGCTTCCATCAGACATTGTACATTTTAACTCATTCATGTTTTTCTTTCTTTTTTTTTATATTCCACAGAATGCCTACCGAAGGTGTGCTGGACGATCATGGGATCGCAACAATGTCACGTCCGTCACGGATCGACCAGTTCCTAGCCGGTATGGGCGGTGGTGGCGGCGGTAATGGCGGAAATCCACCGTCGTCTCCCACGATGCGTGGATCGTCCGGTGGATCTGCATCGGCCAGTGGTGGCAGTCAATCGGCGTCCTCCTCCCGATCCAGCTTCGACGGACAGTTGGGAGGCTTTCCACCACACATGATGAACCCTGCCAATCAACACCACGGACGGGAAAGTTCAGCGTTTGTACCCGTTTTGCCATCCCGATCGATGAGGCCTGGACTCTATCCGGGGATGCTAGATGGACCGGATGGAATGCCTAAGGATGGTGTGCCCAAGCGTGGATCCAGTTATGAGCTGATGGCCATGATGGCGGACAAACGGAAAGAACTGGCGCTGAGAGAAGCGGCTGCTGCAATGCTACTGCCAAGACCTGGAGGACCTCAGGTTCAATCTCCTGGAGGAATGTACCCACCACCGGGAGCGTTCCTGGGTGGACCTGGCCCATCGCCTACTTCAGCGGGAACGTTCACTTTTCCGCCTGCTGGAGTGGGGTTGTACGGACCGGGAGTTCCACCGGGAATGCACCCTGGACTGGATCGAAGACTGCTGCGAGCCCCCGGACGGGCATCGCGCCCCAAGAAGCAATTCATCTGCAAGTTCTGCAACCGACAGTTCACCAAGTCCTACAATCTACTGATCCACGAGCGTACGCACACCGACGAACGGCCGTACTCGTGTGATATCTGTGGGAAAGCCTTCAGGCGGCAGGACCATCTACGAGACCACAGGTAATTAGTCAAAAAAAAATTGATTTGCGGTTTTCTGTTCAGACCCCTGCTGAAACCTCGAAAATTTCACGCAGCTCCCCCTCCCGGTCGCATTGCTCTTGAAAGACGAAGGAGGTGAAATTCCAAGAAATTCACCATGCCTCACTAGACGAACGCCCGTTCGCCACACACAAAAGTATCCTATTGCTATTTGGATATAAATTATGATTTATGCTTCATTTTCAATTTTCTACACACCACCGTGTGCCGTTTGTTGGGGCCTTTGAGCCCCATCTTTTCAACTTTTTGCCTGCGTCATCGTCATCTTAGCCGCTGCCGTCCATCGTCTATTGAAGAGAGGACAGCAACGTCTCAGGCTGAGCTAAGCTAAGCTGAGCAGCGGCTCGACCATGATCAAACTCATGATGGGCGATGGGTGTGGTGTGGTGTGGCGCGAGAAAGGGGAGGCATCGATCAATCTACGCTTTTGATATGATTTTGTATTGCTCTGCGGTCGTTCGTGTATAGCAGATCCGTGCATGCTTTGAGGTCTTCCCGGTTTCTTCCATTGGGGCTTTTATAATGGGTTTAATTTTTATGTGCCATGCCTTTTGACTGGGGGAATTTCTGCTATCGTTCTTTTGTGTGAACTGAGAAAGATTTGCAATCAGTATCAGCTGATAATCTATAAACTACCTCCAAATGTCTGCTAGTGTGATTACTCCAGCTCCACTGAATCCCAAATATCATCAATTCACTGCCAGAAATTGGTGAAATTACAAAAATGATTTATTCTTTTCGGTCTTCTTGCAGACCACAAGCTGACCTCATCATTTGCCAAGACCGAAAATAATCACGTGCTCTTTTAATCCAATCCGATTGATCTGGATCCATCAAATCGGATCGAAGTTCCTACCTCTTTTGTGGTCGAATTCCATCGTTAACCCCTTTTTCTCTCTTCAGAACGATCATTCTATGCGGGAAGCACTGAGAAGATCGCCATTGTTCCACGGCTGCGCGCGCCCCCTTCTAATTATTGCGATATACTAGGAGATCCCACGATGGGATTCAAAGCGTTGGAAAAATGAGCAACGGCCCTCCTGAAGCCAGATAATTGCCGGTTTTCTATCACCCCGACGCTTTTTGATGGGTGGCTTTTTGACTTGACTTGACTTGGCGTCTCGATACTGGGTGTCAGAGTTGACTCCTTTATCTGGCACGCATCACTCTGAACTGAAAGCGCGTCGCACTTTGGATGTGGGGCGGAGGATGGGAGAAGATTTTTATCGGGGTAGTTCGCAGAGGCTCTCTCCGACACGCAATCGTCTTCTGTGCTATCGGTGGTGGTGGGAAATGCGTTCCCACGATAGTTTCCACGCGCGAAGGGGCGATGCCAACTGGATGGAGATTGGTACACTTGCTCTACATGCCGTACTTATGTTGGCGTGCTCATGTAAGTGTCATTTCGATTACAGTAGGAGGAAGAGTGGTACTGGGTAGAGTTGCGTGTGAGGTGGCGGCTGCCACTCGTGATGGTGTGAATGCATTGTCGTGTTCAAATTTTCAGAGCAAGTCAGGTGAGAAGGGTTTGCTCTTCTACTGTGCAGCTATTATGGTGCCGTGGAGGGATTCTTGTTGAAGAAATTCTGGATTGCGACTTATAAATTTAGCGGTTTGCGATGTGTGGATTAACTGTGTGTACTAAATATTTTAAGAAATGCAAATTAACTGCTGCTGAAATTGGTGTTGTGCATGGTCGATATGAATAGACGTTTTAAGAATACTTTAGGTGCCCACTAAATCCATGTATAAGCTATCCACATCACTAAAAATTTACATACATGCCTCTGCACGAAGACGGAAGGGTTTTTTTTAATCATTCAAACGCTTTGCACTTGGCATGTGCCCTCCCCCAACGTAGAAAATGGTTTGTTCATTTTTTTAAGTTTTTTACGGACCGTAGACTATGAGAAAATATCCCTCATATTGAAGGCAAAGGAAAAACTTCATTTCAATCGGAAAGACTTGAGCTAGGTTATATGCTTTATAAAATATATAATTTTCCTTGAATCAACTCTCAAAAATGCATCCGTCTAGTAGCCAAATTCTTCCTGTGACATAAATAATCTGCCTAAAATTTGCATCAAAAATAGACGGCATGGCATTTATAAATTGTATTATACATATTTTTTGTTTTTATAATTTTCGACCATAACAGTACTTAGAAGTACCCATAAAAATCAACTTCAATCCTATGGTATTGATTTAATTAATTGAACAGCCCCTTAGTAGAGCGAGGGCTCTAAGCAGCCCACGTGGTATGTGGGCAGCACCTTTTAAATTAGAAGTACAGAGGTTAACAATTGCTGTAGTGGAAACTTATCTACTACTTATCATTATAGGAACTCCTGGATCTTCCAAAACTTTTAGAACTCCAAGTGATCTAGCAACTTCTTAAACTTCCAGATCTCTTTAAAACTTCGGCAAATTCCAGCACATTGATAACTTTTAAAACTCTCGTATCTCCAGAAACACTCATAGTCCCAGTACTGTACATATTCCAGGAATTGATGGTTGTTCCAACGTTTGAAACATCCTGTACTCTTGGAATATCAGAAACTTTAGAAACACTTAGAACTATTGAAACTTCATGAACTTTAGGATGTCCGGTATTTGTTGTTTCCGCAACTAGGTTCTGGAACTCCCTGGGCCTTTGCAATTAAAAAAATGTTCAAGAAATCTGGCCAATTCCAGTTCTTCAAAATTATTCAACACATGATAAATATCCAGAGCTTCTCCCACTTCAAAAACTAATAGATCTGCATGCTCTCGATGTTTTGACAGAAATTTCCAATAGATTTTGTTGATACGAGAGTATTGGAGGTACCCAGAGCTCTGAGTGCTCTCTAATATTTTGGCAAATATATTACATTTACAATATGGTTCACTCTTTTATTGTTTCGGAGAAGGTCAATTATGAGGGATACTTCAAAATTACAGCTGAAATTTAAAATAAATCTTGTTGAAGCAATGTGTACAAATTGTTTCTCTGATTGTAATTAATGTAATAAATATGTATTTTTATTTGTAATAATTGCACTTCACTCACCCCTCGACTATAATAAAATCCATATAGGTTGCCTTTTCTGACGATAGATGATGTGTCGAGAAAAAAGATTCTGTCCCCTGCATGATGTATGGGAAAACGAAGAGTGAACTATATTATTAATACAGTATATTTGATTTCGGATAACTTAAAAGCTTCTGAATTCGCTAAAAATTATGAATCGGGAAGTTAGTGGAATACGCACAAGAGCAAAAAAGGTGATTATTTTCAAATTGATTACACTTAGTTATTTGTATCTATTTAAGACCTATTGAAATCACACCCTCTTAACCATCTTAACCCTCTTTATCTTGGGGTCAATTTGACTCCAGGCTATTTTTGCAATTTTGATTATTCATCAACACGATTTTTTCTCCGACATTTTTGCATGCTAAAGTCTTTTTGATATGCCTGCCTCTTAATTGAGACATATTTAAAATTTTATTTTAATCCCGTTTTGAAGGATTTTTGACATGAACTAAGCTTTATTTCAGAGGTACCGATAAAGGGTTAAGTACACTCAATTCTGTTTTTCCGCGATTTTTTTATTTCGTTCTTATGCAGGATAGGTGCATTTTTAATGCCACATTATTTTTCTTTGATTCATTTATGATATTTTGAAACAAGTTGCATTACTTTGACTATATGTTTTTAGTATTACTTCTACGTGAAGTCAACGATTTACATAGTTGAAGATGCTAATTTCAAATAACAGACTGTAGTGGTGTCCCCCCCACCATCCCTCTCCAAAGGGGGAGTTTGGTAAAGAGAGATGAAAAAACCGATTTGTACCTTCCTTAAAAAGTTGTCCTAGCTTGCTTGTCTAATATCTATATACAATCTTCACACTACCGTACTCTAACGGAACTATCAACTCTATGCTTTCATCTACTCCATCTATCGTATAAAAATTACCACTACAGTCTGTTATTTGAAATTAGCATCTTCAACTAAGTTGCATTACATTTTCTTGCAAATTGAGATCACACGATCAAAAATAAAGGCGAAAAAAAATCTTTAGTGGGAATGACACTGATGATAAATGGAGATTTATCACCATTTTTGAAGTTTTTGAAGATTCCTGAAGTTCCAGCCATCCAGCATTCAGTGCTTAAATAAATTTCAGAGTTTCAAAAGCTTCCCGGAGTACTAGAATTATCGGTGCCTGCTGTTCAATGAGTTTTAAAATGTTCTCTGTTGATTTCACTATTACATCCTCAACTTGATAATATTTGAGCATGTCTACAGTTGGTAGCTATAATTGGTATCTTTTGAAGCCTAGAGAACTCTAAAAACGTTTACAATTCTCGAAACACTAGTGAGTTTTTGGAGCTTCTATAACTGCAAGAACTGCAAGAACTCTCAGTACTTCCGTAGCTCGGGAATTGTTTTAAGCTCCAGGTACTTCAGGAAATTTTGGCTCTTTGGGAGCTTTTAGAACACCTGGACAACCTCTGTTACCGTGGAAATTTTGAAATTCTATGGTTTTTAGTAACCGTCTGAAGCTTGGAAAATGTTTGCAATGCCTTAAAAAAATTAAATTACTCAAATTGCGTTTATTTTTTTTATTTTTTATTTTTTTTTAAAATTTATATTGTAGTTTAGATAACGTGCTACTCACTGCCAATCAGGCATGGAACATCATTTACATTCATTTCATGTATTCATTTACATTCATTTGCCTCTAACTTTTTTCATCAACAGCATTCCATAAAATGATATATAGAGCTTTTGTAGGTTTTGTTATTAGCTAAAAGTTCAGCACACTACTCAAATCTGTATCTCTTATGCATCACGAACTAGAGCGGGCAGAGCTTGTTACTGTTTTTCAGTGAATGTAAAATACATTCACTGAAAAACATTAGTGGCTTCTGTTCGCTCTGGTTCGTCATGCATAAGAGATAAGGATTTAAGT